AAGAAAGAAAGAAAGAAAGAAAGAAAGAAAGAAAGAAAGAAGAGCAACCATGCATCTCTATGCTATTCATGGTATATTTTCAGCTGGAACCTCTTTCTACTTAAACCAGGGGTCCCCAAACTTGGCAACTTTAAGACTTGTGGACTTCAACTCCCAGAATAGCTGGCTGGGAGTTGAAATCCACAAGTCTTAAAGTTGCCAAGTTTGAAGACCTCTGACTTAAACCTTAGTACAACACTCAGATATTTAAAGCCATTAAACATCTTGGATTAATCTTGAAACTTTTTGCATACTTGTACTTAAACAGAAATAATTTTGTTTTAACACATATGGCTTCAATTCTAAAGCTATTTTTTATGAAGACCAAGTCAAGAAAAGGAGATTGGAAACAAAGCAAAGGTTAACCTTCTCATTATTTCTAACCTTTTCTAAATGACAAGTAGAAGTGAGCCTTTCTACTTGCCATTTTATTACCAAGAATTTACCACCATCTTCAAATTGAAGAGTTGCCTTCCAACAACAAAAAAAACACAAGTTTGCAAACTGCCTGAATGGTAACCCAGCACATAATTTTGTATGTTAAATATCGAACCACAAAGGGGAAGAGGGAAAAATATTTGTGAGAAATATCTACTGTGTTTTTTGCTTGTCAAATTTAAAAGGCCATTGGACTCCATAAAGGTTGTGACAGCAATAGAAGTAATGAAGGCAGCAGCTAGGCAAACTGCTGAATAGTCTGAATTATGCTTTGGAAATTGTGTAACGCATGCTCTGAAATTGAGCAAATGGATGATACCTAAAGGTAAGCTGTTTTCTACAAAACCCACTCTGAACTTACCACACTAAGCCTGGCATGAAAAAGCAGAGCAACTTGCTTGTTTTGAAGAGGAGGATATGGAATAAAGAAAGAAGATTGGCTCCAACAGTTTTAGGAGACTGCTTAGTTTTGTTTCCCCAAAACATTCCCAACTTAGTAATCAATACTGTATTAGCACCAAATGTTCTTTTCGCTAAACACTGAATCCAGGCATACTTCCTGCAGCCTCCTAGGCCCAAAACAGAGCCTCGCAAGTCTCCTAGCAGCAAAAGCAGGTTGTGAGGGGGCCCAACGTTTTGGGCCTAGCAAGCCTCCCTGGAGCCTCCTTGTGAAGGATCAGATGATGGGATGTATGTACAGAGGAGGCCCTGGGTGTCAGAGGAAGGGTCATTTGTGGAGATAGGACCCAGGTGTGGCTGGAACGGACATGAGAGTGAGGAATACAAATTCTGATAAAACATTTTCTCTGGTCTTCATTTCTTCGCCTTAAGCAGCCTTGTTCCTTCCTGTCTTCTCTCTACAGAAGGAGGGCAGGTCACAGAGGAGTGGCGCCGGTGCTGCCTCAGACAAAGTTAAAACTGCTTTTACTTGAATCAATCTTGGCTACTTGGCTACTTATTGTGCTCTCCAAACCACAAAAAGTCAGAAATCAGGACATTCAAGTAACAAGAATGCTTATTAGTATGAATACTAATGGTTTCAAGGTATTTTAAATGTTGGCCCTTTCAGGTTTGGAAAGAAATGAAATACAAATCTTTGTAAAAATGCAGCTTGCAAGTTTGGAAGGAGCTAAAATGATAGTTTATGTATGGATACTAAGAACGATTGTGTCTTAGCTAGCTTGTTTAAAGTATTATTTAGATAAGTCCAGTTTTTCTGAACCTGGCAATCTCCAAATATTTTGAATTATAATTCCATAATTCCCAGACAGCAAAACTGAAGATACATTTAACACATCTGGAGGACACTATCTGGCACAGTTTAACCTACTATTCTCATCAATCTGGCCATCAAAAAAATTATAAACCTAAATATCAGCAATATAGTAAACTGTCCCCAACCTTTGCGATTACTATCCTGGGGATTGAGCATCATGTGGTATGGGTAGGTTAAGTTTGCAGAAGTGACCTTTTTAATACAAAAAATAAAATGTGGTATTAAAACCTAAGGATTATTCAACTTATTTTTATTTGGACAAGTCTAGGTAGTTTGAGTGGCCTCCACTCATGAAGTAGGTAAGCCTTGACAATGGGGCTGGCCAAAACAGGATAAATACAGCACCATGTGCATTCTTGTAACCAACTTCCAATGGTTAAAGACACCTGTTTACCTTGTGCTCCCTTATGAAATGTGTCCCCCTTATTGACTAGTCTTTCTGTTGGCCCAACATACTATGAACTAACCCTTTCCCCATGAATTGCTCTTGGCTGTATCAGCCTTTTAATTATGCTTCTCACATTCCTCACTTACCCCATAAGCAAATAGATGAGGATGGTGATGGAGAGCAGAACTCCACGCTGAGTTGAGTGGCGACACAGGAATAAAACCAGGTAGCACAAGAGGCTGAGGAGCACAACCCACACCATCTGCAGCTGAAAGAAGTGGTAGAGGGCATAGAAGCCACTAGCGATGGTGCTCAGGTGCTTAACATAGGATGGTAGAGCTGGAAAAGAAGAGGTGGGGAGCTTAGATGAGAGAAAGAGAAGCTCACCATGGCTGGCTTCACCCAACACACCTAGCCATAACATGGAGTGTCTGTGTGTGAGTATTAGCATATGATCTCAGTTGCTGATGTTTGTGAACCAAAGCTTATTGCAGGGAATGGCAATTTCTCCAGGGTTGGAGGCTTCCCCAACCACCTGGACACCACTGAAGGTTTTCTCATAGTAACAAAATGCTGTCACCGGAAAGATCCATTCATCTCTTTTTATGCTGTTTTGGGAAGGGTGGGTAGTGGAGGTGGTGGTGTTTGAAAGCAAGTAACTCAGAGTTCCACCCTTAAATAATCCCTCAGATCTTTAAAAAAAACGTTTCCCGATTATGCTGCTGAAATTTCAAGTTATATGGGGAATTAAAAGTGGAAAGGGAAGTATTTTGTCTCCCCGAGTCCTCCAATCATTCCCACTCCTACTGGGAGGGACGGTGGCAAAAAAACAGTACTGGGAAATCAATCAATATGACAGGGATTGGGAGGGAGGACCAAGCTGTTCACCCCAGTTTATCACAGAATGGAAAGCTGGAAACTAGCTAAATCAATTTTATCTCACATGTATGCAAACTGAGCCCCTACTTACATAACCTCCATAGGAGACGGCAAGCTAGACACAAGAGCAGCAGAGTCCAAACCTGTTCAAAACCCTGCTGAGCAGTTGGCAGCACACAACTGCTCAACAGCTGCTGGTAAAACTCTTCCCGTGTAAAGGTGGCCATGGCCCCAACCTGGAAAGACAAAGAAAGAGATGTGGGGCAAATATCCTGGAGGAAAGGATCTGGAGGAAAGTCAAGATTATTCTGAAACATATATAAACATATATAAACCCAAAGCTCTTAGCTCTGGAGGAAAGTCAAGATTATTCTGAAACATATATAAACCCAAAGAATAAAAAGTCTGGAATAAGATACACCAAGTCCTGTTCTTAAACTGGGATAATTGTAGTTGAAAGAACCTCCCTCTACTAGGAGAATGATTGAAGTTTCAGGACATGCTTACACAAAGATAAAAGGTTTGTCTATAGAATGCTTATTTGTGTTTTATTTAACCATAATTTTATTAAAGCCAACTTTCTGGTTCTCATACAGCACACTGAATAATACACCAACCAACCACACAAGCTGGATTGATATAACATACTACCTACAGCAGGGTTATGCTATTTGTGGTTCAATGCATGGGTGAGCCCAGTTAGGCATGCCAAAGCATGCCAAAGCCAGCCAGTCAACAGGTCTAGAACCCATGTAATCATGTACAATTGTCTCAGACACACCTGCCATCTCAATGCCACAATGTAACCCAATGTTCCCTTCTGCAGCTATCGCTTCCCTTTGGTTTTAGAACTGTAGATTTGAAATAGTCTAAGTAGTTTGGAAATCCAGTCTAAGTATTATCTTGCTCTGACAACACTAAAAGTAGCTTAGCAGAGATGAGTATGGAAAACATATAGGACAGGGGTAGGGAAACTTGGCTCTTCAACTCCCAGAATTCCTGAGTGAGCCATAAAAGGTTCCCCATCCCTGGCCTACTGGTTTTTCAGTTGTGGGGAAAATCAATTTTTGACTTGAATGGGACTGTTTAATATACATATTATATATTTATATGTCCTACATTTGTATATTAAACAGTCCCAATCAAGTCAAAAATTGATTTCCCCCACAACTGAAAAATAGGCCAGGGATGGGGAACCTTTCATGGCTCGCTCAGGAATTCTGGGAGTTGAAGTCCAGAAATGATAAAAGAGCCAAGTTTCCCTACCCTCGATATAGGGTAACTACAGCAGCAAGGTAGTGTTTCTCATTCTTAACACTATGGTTTGTTCAATCAGTCTCATTTTGTACACAACACATGCTGAACCATTAACTATGCAAGCTGAAATCACAGAATACAATGAATTAAAATGTGATTTGTAAGTTTATGGTATTGTAGTGATACAGTCCAGTGGTGGGATTCAAATATTGTTGCCGCCAGTTCAGTGGGCGTGGTTTGGTGGGTGTGCTTTGCACGCGTGCACACATTTTGCATGCACACAGGTGCCAAACATGCACTTTGCACAGGTGCAGAGGCATTTGCGCAGGCACAGAGGAGTTCTAACTCGCCTCCTGCAAGCCTGCACAATCCTGGTCGCTTCAGCAGCTGCCACGCAGCACTATTCTGTGCCGTGCAAAGCAGCTGTGCTTCAAATTCAGCAGATAAAGGTGAGTATGGGATCCCGGGTGGGCCCAACAGCAGAGTGGCGGAGAGAATCGATTCGGTCTCCGCTGCTCATCGCTCCTACCGGCTCGCCAGAACCAGGCAGAACCGGTTGAATACCACCACTGATACAGTCCATCCTTGCTTCCCCAAGTTCTCTGAAGGAAGAGACACAGGTATAAATCAACTAAATACATCCACAAATATTACTATATGGAAGTAAATTCTGCTAAACCCCACAGAATTTGACTATTTTTGCAGTACAGCTGAGCCAACTAAAACTTCCCACATTAATGCAAACTCTTCCTCTACCTTGTTACTTGGAACTAATTCTTACTATTTGTAGACCCAGTTTAAGAATAAAAACATATTCCAAAAGAGCTCCTTGGGGGGTGGGGGAGGTGGGGAAGGCAGCATCATTAACTGAAGGCCAGTTACCAGTCGCACAATAATAGCATAAATTCTGATTCTACTTCAGTTTTCCAAGGTTGGATTAACACTAAGCCTAGCAACAGATTGGGGAGGTGGGTGTAGAGAAATGGGTGGTGGGGAGTAATACACAGCTGATGAATTGATGAAGCAATAGGGAGGAAGACAAGACTGGAATGGCACATTTGCATCAAACCGTGATTTCATCACGATTTGGTCATCCATCGTAATTCAGAGTCACACGATACAGGAAGCCAAGACCAATCAAAGCGTTTCATGGTTGAACATGAAAGCAGGAACCCAGCGGCGTTAACAGGCAGGTCCAGAGACAGGAAGGAAATGCTGGAGCTCAGAATGGAGGAGGGGAACGTGGCTTTTTAGACAAAAGGATCCGAAAAGGAAAAATAAAAAACGAGCCCCGTCCTGCAACTCTAAGTAACCCTTCGCTTCTCGTTTCTTTTCTTGGCATAATCCCCCCCCCACACACACACACACCGAAAGCTGATTTTTCTTTCTCGTTGCACACACACACACACACACACACCCTGGATGCTGGCCCGCTTTCCTAAGAGCGCTATTCTTATAAAAGGGAAAGAGCTAATAATGGGAATCCCACGGAAACGGCGGCCATCGCGTCATATCAGAGGAAGAAAAAGGGAAACCCCTTCCTTCTGGGAAGGCTTCTCCCTTCCCACTACGCTGCATTGCGGGAGAGACAACTCGGCGCCGCTTGGCTTGGCTCGGCTTCTCTCTCACCGAACTTGCCTTAATGCCTCTCATCCATCCCAGCACTGGCCCTCCAGCTCCATTTAGGCCAGCTGTTCCAGGGTATACCTTAAAGAGGCAGGCACGGCGTTACGGCTAACTCACCGATGCGTCTTTATTCGCACCACCTTCTTCCCCCCTCCCTCTCCGGAGCTGCGTGGGTACCGGTCTTCCCCCTCCCTCTCCCCCCGCGCCCCCCCCCCCCCCCAAAGGCGGGAAAACAAAGAAGGGGGGGGGGGGGAGAAGTAGGCGGTGGGATCCTGTTTAAAGTTGGAGGTGGGTCGCTTGAAAATACCAATAAGAAGGCTGGAGACAGGATTACTTAAAGCCGCTGAACGGCCAATCGGATGGAAAAGACGGGAGTAAAGACGCAAAAGGGCAGCCAATGAGAAAGGGCGGGGCGAGAGAAGAAAGACACTAGTCCGGATCCCCTCTTGAGGAGGGCGAGCCACGTTTGCCTGCCAGGAAAAGCTTCATTCCTGAAAGGTCGCGAATGCGCGCAAGTCCGTGGAAAGGAAAGCGCGGGAGCGGCTGAGCAAAAAGAGTTACTATTGACAGGCTTTAATTCTGAAAACGTGAAGTTTCAAAACGGAGGAGGAGTGTTGCAGAAGGCGGCCATGTAGCATCCTCTGGAGCAGGGGCTCTCCAACCTTGGCCGCTTTAAGCCTGGTGGACTTCAACTCCCAGAATTCCTCAGCCAGCAAAGCTGAAGTCCACCAGGCTTAAAGCAGAGCCCTGCTCTGGAGAACGCTTCGATGGTAGCCTTGTTTAAACCACCCAAAATATGGATCAAGTAGTGTTGGGAGGGTTTGCTTAGCGGAGATTGCGTGAGGAAAATGGAGTCAGTTCTTTCAATCGGGTTAAACACAGCGTGCGTCTGTGTTGTTGGCAGAGGGTTGTAATAAGTGTCTGGTTCCTAAATGCTTAATAAGAGCATCCTGGTCAGTCATTTTTTGAACGTTTATTCCGCTTCATTCCTAATCCTGCCCCTTTCCTGTTTTACTTGGTGTGCGCACTTATCTGTTTTTTGTGGCACGCATTTTCCCTCTATTTCTCTTGACATACCCAGCCCTCGCTTTCACGTAACAATGGTATGGCATACTGATCCATAGACGCCTTTGGTTCTTTAATTTTCATTCTTCATAACAGATCATATATTATTCACTACTTACGTTCAACATGTGCATGTATTAAAAATTTCTCTAGCTCTTTTTCCATCTTTATTCAATGATAAGTGTACATGCATTTATCTATTTGTTCTACTTTTCATCGTTTATGTTTCACACAATTATTTGCCCAATTTCCCATAACTGATAGAACTGTCTTAGTCTTTAATACATTAATTTCCAGATCCAGGCTCATCGATCCTTCATATAGCGAGTATCACTTGTAATAAATCATTCAGGTTCTGCGCATACAAAAATATGCATTGCCAGCCAGCAAACCACTGATATCATGCAAATATTTCTTATACATATATCAAAAATATGTTAACAACCAAAGGAACACACATTGGTGATCTGCTACCTGCTGAATATTGAAACATTCACAAAACATTCTCATACATGTTTTGCTGTCATCACACATTACTGCATTCAGCTCCATATTTATGCAAAGCCTTCCATCATTGAAGCCTAGTCATTTTATCATACAGTTCTTCTGAACAAACCTACAGCCGATTGTTTCATATTCACTTATTTCTCAATGGCCTGCTGAATTTTTTTTTTTAAAATGGTTTCCTCCACCCCTGGAATTAAGTGGTATTACAATATATGCTTCCAAATCATTTTCCTCATCATCATGTCTTGTACCCATTCAGAATTTGATCCCTTTTGCTATTTGTTTTTAGATCAAAAAACTAATTCCTGTTTTTTCTGCATTCACTGATGCTTCCTTTCCCCTAATCATCAGGTATAAATGTAGGAACATCAAACAAGTTACCCCATTCCATAAACATCCAAATTTTAAGAGTTCTCTAATTACATTGAGCCTTCAGCCTTGCCATTTTTAGACATTTTCACAGGCTCTTTGACTTCCTTTTCATAATTTTTTTTTCTTGGTCGCTAATGTTTATAACATTTTAGGTCTACTCTTTCACACATCACTGTAATTCCTATACAAATCCCCAAACTATCCTTTTCAGCATTCCCTTTTTAAAAAAAACAAACTTTATTAATTTTACAATTAAAATAAACAACACATACACAAATGTAGAAAAGAAGAAGCGAAACAGTTGAGAAGTAAAAGAGAGACGAGAGAAAAAGAAAAAAGTAAAAGTAAAAAGAAATCAAAAAGTGTTTAAAAACAATTTCATCTTCGACAGTTCATGGATCATTATTTCTATCCTTATTTTATGCCATATTTACAAGTAATCCTTAATGTGAATATATAATTACCACTACAATTATAGCTTATCCTCTTTTACAATGTTATGTAGCCCATCTTTGATCTAACCATTTAATTTCATTCCAAATTCTTTCCTCATTTTCTGACAGAAGCTCCTTGCTTAGCCCTCTTTCCTACTTTTGGTTTTTTTAAAATGTCAATCAAAATTGCTCTACATTTTATCTGCCTTGTATATGCTTAGCTACATCTTGTTCTTTAGAGTACATTCTTTGCAACTATCTTTTTTCTCTCTGTTGAAATTATAGAAGTTATTTCTCTGATCCTTGTTTTTTTCCCCGGTAATCAGCATTGGTCACCCTTGTCACTGACCTTTGAAGGGCTTGGGATGGAGGTAGTGCAACCATTTTGGCTCTCCTAGATATCTCAGGGGCTTTCAATAACCATCAACCATAATATCCTTCTGGACGGGCTTCGACGGCTGGAAGTGGGAGGCCCTGTGTTATAGTGCTTCTCCTTCTTCCATATCTGGTTCCAGTTGATGTTGGGAGGAGAGAGAAGTCAAACTCCAGGCCCTGGGGCTTCAGGGCTCAAGCTCTTGCTGTTCCTTTTTAACATCTACATGAAACCAGTAGAGGAGGTTATCCATTGACATGGGATTTGGTATCAGTATGCCTCTGATACCCAATCATTTGTCTCCACCTCTAGCCAGGCAAATGATGTAGCAGTGCTGACTGTGTAGCAGGCTGTAAGGGTCTAGATCAGCAGTCACCAACCACTGGGCCAGTGGGCCACGAGAAAATTTTGGTGGGCTGCAGAGAAATGTCACCCCCAGAGCAACCCCCCCAAAGTAATTAATCCAGGCTGTGCGGAAACACATGGCTGCGCTGCCCACATGGCCCGCGGGAACCCTTCCCGCCCCCTCACTCCTTACCTGGCAAACTTGCCTGCTAAATTGCTATTTTTCCTTTTTCCGACCATCAGCTGTTCTGCTGTTCTGGGAGATTTAGATTAGCTAGAAAGCAAGAAATCATTGAATTTCTTGCTTTCTAGCTAATCTTTAGATCTTCAGCTCTGCTTTTAAGCACAGTTGAACCTCCCTTAGGACTGAAGGTTCTGTTATTCAGTGCAGACTCACAGCAAGCAAATTTTATGTGACAGACTCAGGTAGGTGATGGCAGATAGATAGATCACTGAATGATTCTGAGCAATTCAATCTGGCTGCCTGCTTTGCCTGATTTTGGATAAAAGTTGCTCTTTTTTAATAAAACAAATCAATATTTACATACATGGTGTGTTGTGAGTTAATTTTGTGAGTTTGCTTGCAAGCCAATTTTATGTGACAGACTGAGCTAGCCGATGGCAGATAGATAGATCACTGAATGATCCTGTGAGCAACTCAATCTGCCTGCCTGTTTTGCCTGATTTTGGGTAAAAGTTGCTCTTCTTTTATAAAAAAATTCAATATTCAATATTTATAAAAAAATTCAATATTTATATAAATATTTATAATATTTACAAACAAGCCATGCCCAGCTGTTGTAATGACGAGGCAGTCGAGTTGTTTGATCATGAACAACTGAATTGTGATGATCTTTATTGGAGTCTAGTCTTGCATTTATATACATTTTTAGTTATCCTCCAACTTTGGTTACTGCTTAACTTTCGTTACTGTTTAGTACAGTAATCCATACAATTAATTATCTCTAGTTAAAGTCTAACATATGTCTACTTCCCCTCTCTAATCCTCCTTTTTCCATAGATTAGTGACTTTGTTTGCCTGAGTTGTATTTGCTTGGAAACATTCTTTATCTAAGGTTTGCCATCCAAGATTGGAACATTCCTGCAATTACAACTCTATACCCAGCCAGTCACTTGACCACCAAGCCATACCCACAAATTAGGCCACACTCACAGAACTGGTTAAAGGTCCCTGGGATTTAAAATTATGAGTTTGGTGGTCCCTGAGGTCCAAAAGGTTGGCAACCCCTGATCTAGATGGGGAGGCATTGGCTTTAACTAGCCCTGGCAAGATGGAATGGCTACAGTTTTTGGGCCATATAGGGCCAGATAATTCTGTATCTTTGACTTTGGATGGAATGGCACTTCCTTGGATTGAGCTCATACACAATTTGGGGGTCTTCCTGGACTCACAACTTCTACTTAAGCATTTGGCAGATGTAGCCGGGGAGTGGGGGTTGCACAGACTTGTCTGGTGTGCCAATTGCACCCTTTCCTGGACAGGGAGGCCTTGCTCTCATGATCACTCATGTCTTCATCATCGCCCATCTAGATTACTGCAATGTGTTGTACATGGGTCTGCCCCTGAAGACCACCTGGAAACTTCAACTGATCCAGAATGTAGCGGCAGAAACGGTAATAGGGGCCTCTAGTTTTGCCCATGTAACAGCTCTATTTTGTGAGATGTACTGGCTTCCATTTTCTTTCCCGGAGTAATTCAAGGTGCTGGTCATCATTTTTAAAACCCAATGTATTACCTGACTATCTGCAGTATCACCTTTCCCTAAGTTCTCATGCCAGGAAATAAACTCCAGGGAGGGGCATTGTGCCCCAACCTTTCTAATATTTTGGAAAACCACTGGTTTCACAGATTGGTAATTAAATTGGGTTAAGGTTTTAATACTACTGATTTTAAATTTCTCATTATTTTGTCTTGTAATTTTTTTGTCTTTGTGTGGATTTATATGTTTTAGTTGCTGTGCCAGATGGTAAGAAAGAAGAAAATAAATTTAATAAATAATATGTCTAAAACATTGCATGTTCTATTCCATCTTCATAATCAATGATGATGGAATTTATTGCTTCTGCAAA